AAAAAAAATCAGTGGCTTTACCACACTAGCCTTAACTAACTAGCCGTAACTAGCCTTCTGATTAGCTAATCAGAAGGCTAGTTCTGATTAGCGTCACCGCTGTCTCGGTGGAGTTTAATAAACTCGGCCGTCTGCTTCTTGCTATCTAAAATATAACCAGACACTGGTGTAAATTCTCGACTGTCTCATACTTCTGTTTAATAAGTTTTCTGTTTGACGTTTAGTCAGCTGTGTGAAAACCAAGGAGGAACCCACCCGGGGGATTAATAAAGTTTTATTTTATCTAATCTAATAACTTTAATCTCAGCCAAACCGATTTACTCACGAACAAACAAAACACTGAAAAAAGCCCAACAATAACATTTTAGGTTGTCTAAGTGACTTATATATTACGTTTAACCCGAGCAGCGAAACTCCGCGGTGATCTGAAAATGATGTGCCGGGAGTTGTGCCGTTCTCGGCCGCATCAGTAACCCTCGAGCTCGCGGCTAGCTGTCGAGCTAGCCGGAGGGTAGCAGACGCCTCTGAAAACGTCGAAGCACTTTTGCAAATATGGGATATCTTGATAAACCGAGCAGATATTTGATGTTTACACAGCTACTTTCTCGCCTGAAAATATGTTAAAAGTTTATTTTGTGACCCAGAAAGATTAGTATGAGTAATTTTAAAACTTAGTAGCGGCCGCCATTGCTGGAAACTGGAGTTTGGCTGGGCCGCGCTATGAATTCTGGGATATGGTAGTAATTTGGACAGCCTTCGGCGCGTCGCTGTGACGTAATCGGTCTACAAATGCGGCCTCAGGAGGATGCAGCCCATGAATTTGGACATGTCCAGAGTATAATCGCAGCCTTTGCGGTTAGAAAATTGCACTTGATCATGTCGCGATATTATCGCAAATGCAATATATCGTTCAGCCCTAGAGTCGATCCAGACTTCCTGTACTGGGGGTGCTGGTTCCACAGATCAACAGTGTGGGTGTGAGTGGTTATCTGTCTCTCCATGTAAGCCCTGTGACACACCTCACCTGGCCAGGATGTACCCTCCCCCTCATCCTTTGACAGTTAAGGTTAGCCCCCCCCCTGAGGAATATTGATGGATTGTGCAGATACTTAAGAATTACAAGTTTAAGTTACTTTAGTTTAACAAAAACTACACTTCCAGAGAAAACTCGACCCAGAGTATCTCACTGCAACTCTGCGGCTTTCAAAGGAGTGAGGAGGAAAGGAGGTCATTTATGTGAAAAGGGAAAGTCCATCTCTGAACCGAGGAGGGGGCCTAAGAGCACGTCTTTCACTTTCTTACAATGCTGTGATTGCAGCCCCTGTGACCTCTGAATGGTTCTCATGCCCACCATCAATGAGTATGACAACAGTATATGGAAGATCATGAAACTTGGCTGACGCTAGTTTTGGCTGATATGCAAATGTTTAAAAGGCTGGGAAACTGCAGTGAGCTGAGAATGAGGAAGTCACAGGTGAGTGATGAAATGTTTCTCCCACTGAAAACAAACAGATGAACAGAAACAGCTTTCTGGGACTAGCTAGAGCACCTGTGTGCTTACATTTTGCTGTGTCACTGCTGCTTAGTCACACTTTAAGGTCACCAGCTCACTGGAAAGGAAGAAAGGATGGCTGGATGGATGTCCTTCACCCAACATGATGCGCACTATTTTCCATAGCATAATAAATATTGTCGCAAAAATTTCTCTGAAATATCGCGATGTAATTTAAAGGCTGCATCACCCCGCTGGTGCGCAGAAGCTGAGTCTGCAGCTCCTGACTGTCTATGAGGCAGCAGGGGTTGGACGGCTGGAGGAAAACTCGGGTTGCAGCTGATTCTCAGCCGATCGTTCTTATTAAAAAAAGAAGAAGCTATAAATAAATACAGTTACTGTTAAAGATATGAACACATGGAGGATCTTCTGTGAGGAACATGGGTGAAAGGAAAGCTTCGGAAACGAGATTAAACACTAAAATACAGCAAATCTGCTGCAGCAGACTCGCCGTGTGTCGCTACAGTGACATCTCGGCTGTGACTGAACCTGTGCCCGAGGGGCGAACAGCTTAAATGTGCCTCCCGACAAAAACAGAAAGAGGTTTGCGCGACGACGTGGCTAACAGCGGCTCACAACAACAACAGTCAGGCTAACGTCATCACGACACGGTCGTTACAGCCGCTCCGAGCCGTGCCGGGTTACCTTTTCAAGCCTCCACTCCGCCTCTCCCCGTTTCTCCGACGCCAAAGACTCACAGCGAGACAATAACCTGATGAAATTGATTTCTAGTCTGGAAGCCATGTTTGGTTTGAAGCCGACACAGCGGCGCAGCAGTTTGACGTCAAGCCGAGCGGCGCAGACGTTATGGGCGGAGCGTCGCCCGCCTCTTTTTTTTTACGTTGTCAATGAAAATTTTACTTTAAAAAGCTAGACTAATAATAATAATAATAATAATAATAATAATAATAATAATAATACATTAATTATTATATTAATTATATTAATAATAATAATCTCGTCAGATCCCAAAGTTTTATCTTAATCTATTTCTCTCTATTCGAGAGAAATAAAATAATAAAATAAATATAAAACACATCATTCTGGCACGAAACCCACAACATGTCTGTATGTAGTACTTTTTTATTTATGTATGTTTTGTATGTGTTTATATACAGTTCTTAAAAAAATACTGCCATAAAAACACTAAAAGAAAACTAAAAGTTAAAAATATTGTTTGTAAATTTTATTTATTGGGCAAATAAAACTCTAAATTCACTTTTTTATACCCCAATTTGAGGTGCCATACTGGACTTCTCTGAGAGTCAAGCACAACGATTTTTTTCTTTTACGCAATGTCAGTAAATAATAATAATAATAATAATAATAGTAATAATAATAAAAATAATAATATGTGCTTTCCTATTTTTTCTGCTTTTTTGTAAAAGATTACATAAATAAAATTAAAAATATGATTTTTGACTGACAAGCTTGGACAAACTCAGTCGTTACAGAAACATAGAAAATGAGTTTGATATTTTCAGTACTGTTAATTTAGGGTAATTATGGCATAAACATTACACTGGGTGGTGGCCTGATAGTTTATCAAGTACCCATGTATGCTTATATTGACTGTATTGATTACGTTTTGTTTTATAATACATGGGTTATTTTGCTGTACGGTATCTCTGACACTCAAACTGCTTTACATGTAAACAGACGGAATGAAAGATTAGCACTGGATATAAAGTCATGTTGTGCTTATCACTACACTACAGTGCGTAAAGTATAATAGCCCATTTAGTACACGGTCTGCATCACTTTATTACTGAGTGAGGGCACTCAGTGTTTAGACCTTTTCATATGGCCTACATCATCTACAGCTTCTAGAATCATAACTATTTTTGCAACGTGGAGCACCGATTGGAGACAGTTGACTGAATCTTCTCACCAAAGTTTTAATCTGTAGCTCGGAAACTTCTGCACCACCAACGGGCTGAAGTTGGAGCTGCTAAAGGAGTTTTCCAGATATGAGGCGTCTGTGGATCAAGTCCAAGAAGGAGGTCATCCGGCAGGTCACATGACACAGCCTGTTCAAATCTTCAGAGCAACAATTTTAGTCTTCATGTCAAAAATAGTCCCAGTCTGTTCAGGCCTTGAACGCTTCAGGACTTTGTTTGCACCTGTTGGGTGGGATAAACACTTTTTAATGATTTGTTAACCTAGTTCAAAGACCCCACATACTATCACTGCAGCGCGCTTCCACCTGAGCATGCCCAGCTGTGTGGGTGGTGCAGAGAGGAGAACAATCATCTATCAGACTCACGTATCCCAACCCGCATGGAGGTACGTGAAACTACATAAACTTGAATTTGCTTAACAGTGGATGGTGTGCGAGGCTGGTAAATCACCCACGACCAGGAAGGAAAATGCTGACCACAGCTCAGGGCGTAAAAACGGCAAAAATAAATGTAACCACTTCAAGGGGCGCTTGCGTGACACTGTTAAAACTCATGTTGGTGTAATTTCCTGTGTGCGGCTCTGGTGCAGCTTTATGAAGTCTGAAGAAATGACTCGTATGACATCACTTGAAAAACAGATCTTGCATTGTGGCAGCTGATCCTGAACTGTGGAGCCTTTGTGTGCTCAAGGTGCATTAATTCCACTCCACACAAAATCAAAAGCAGCGAGGTCTGTGCAGACGGCTGCAGTTTACTGTGACAAAGAAGCGGCTCATTTAAGAAGACCTGACCCGAGTTGTAATGACTGTTTAAGGCAGGAATGGCTCCGTGAGACTGTAAAATTATACCCACCTCTGGGAGTTTTAGCCATCTTAAAGCAAAATGTTAAACATACACACTCCGGCCACTTTATTAGGTACACCTGTTCACCTAGTGGTTAATGCAAATATCAAATCAGCCGAGTCGGTGCTTTTAAACACGCAGATATAATCAAGACGACCTGCTGAAGCTCAAAATGAGCAAGAAAGGGGATTTAAGTGATACTGAACAGGGCTGGTTGTTGGTGTGAGGATTTCAAAGACTGCTGATCTGCTGGGATTGTCCCACACAACCATCTCTGGGGATTACAGATAAAGATCCAAATAAGAGCAAATATCCAGCAAGCGGCAGTTTGATGCTAAAGATCAGAGGCTGGCCCGACGGCTTGGAGCTTATAGGAGTGCAGAAGATCATCTCTGAACATGTTAAACCCTGAAGCAGATGAGCTACACCAGCAGGAGACCACACCAGGTGGTCTGTACCCAGTACTAGCAACATGTACCTAATGTAATGCCATGATGTGCAGTATTTCTAGTTTCATGTTACTACATATTGTCTGTGCTGAAGGTCCAAGTCAACCTATGAACCTAATTTGGAGCAGACTAACTCCTGGAGAGTTTATAAACGTCCTACAGTTTTATTTTAATAACTCTTGTTTATCACCAGCTTCTGTTTCCAGCGTAAAAGAAAATCGTTGTAATTGTGCGTGAAACACAGAGCAGCGCACGTTACAAGCATCATGTACTGTATTTTCATGTTAATACTAAGAAACATTACAGCTCATTCAGTCAAAGTCACCATGCACTCTGTTACACATCAGAACATCTTCCTCATAATCCAGACGAACTAACATCATCATACATCATCATCATCAGCAGTCAGAGAGGAACATTAGTATTACATCTCATACAAAGTTGGCCGGAGCTGTGCTTCAGCAGACTTTTCTAATAATGGGACCGAGTGATTTTAGAGGAGGGGAAGTTCAAGGACACGCGGTGGCACCGCTCTTGGATCGTGGCTGGGTTTGTGTGGGTTTCCGTGGAGAAAGTGGCGTGTGCTGCTCCCGTTCCCTTTGCTGCGTGAATGCAATGACTTCCTATTTGGTGTGTTGTGCGGCGGGTAAAACATGAAGGCGAACAGAGAATGCTGTGTGTGTGCAACAGTCACAATGTGCAGGTTTAGGTCCTTGTTTTCCACGACAAACACATCCCTCCCTCTGCGAGCACCGTTCCATCATCGTGACATGAGAATGAGCTTTTTAACAAGTCAATGTACAACATCAAGGCACTAGCTAACGTTTCAGCGAGCGGGTTTCACTCACTGGGAGAACTAAGAAATGAAAAGTGCGACTGAAACCTGCAATATTTTCTTGAATTAGCACAAATTAATAAAAAAATCATTATGAGGCTACGGGAGGAAACTGCCTCTGGTCCCACTGAAGTAATCAACAGTGAGGACAACATATTAAAAAGATTGAAAAGGTGCTTGGCAACATGTGGTCCAGTCCTTTTGACTAACGACACGTTAGTTCCCTCAGACAGCAGCAGCTGCAGTTTGTGCGAGCTGGGTTCATGCATGTGCAGCCGCAGCAGCTGCGCCTGCGTCGCGTCTCTCCTTTCCTTTACACACATCAAGTTCCAGCCTGTCCGAGCGCTCTGCTGCGTCGAATCCGAGAGCGGTTGAATTCGTTTTGTTTGTCTGCTTGCGGGTCGCCGTCCTTAATCCTCTTCACCTCTCCAGTCGTTTGTGCTCCTCCCCGCTCAGACTTCATCATCCATGTACGGGATGTCCGGGTCAGAAAACCGTCTGTGGACGTTTGAGACTTTCGTGTCGCTGTGCTGGAGCTGAGGAGTGGGCGCAGCCGTGGAGACGGAAGAAGAGGAAGAGGCAGCTGAAGGAGGACAGGAAGAAAAACGCAGCAGCAAGTCGCACTCTGACCCGTCGAGGTAAAGGGACTGGGTGCTGTCTTTACGGCGGCCGGGCTGCTCTCGTCTCTTGACCGAGAAGGCGGGCGCTCGGCTTCCGGGAGGGGCGTGAGACTGAGGTGGACTCGAGGTTGGCGCCTGGGAGCAGACTCCCTGCGGGAGTTTAACCGTGTTTGGGATGATGGGGTTGCGACGCTGAAGCGGATGCCTGAAGGAGGCGTTGGAGGATTCAGAAGTTGAAGAAGTGCAGCTGGCCAAAGAAGAGGTGGAGCTAGCAGGGGTGAGGGTCGACACAGAGATGCGTCCACCGGGGACTTTAGGCCTCTGGGTCAGATCTGAAGGTCTGGGAAGACAAAGCGGTTTGGATCTCCTCAGCTGATGAGCACCGCGTCCTGGAAGAGAAGAGGATAGAGGAAGGATGAGGAATATTTAACCAAGAGGCTCACAGCAGAGTGAAAGGCAAAAGGAAGATCATGCAACCATGTTAGGCAAGAAGAAAAATCAAAAAATGCACCCAGTGAGTTACAATTACAAGCATCTGATCTGATGTGGACGCCAAATGTTCAGCAAATCAACTTTGGGTGAAACGTGAGCATGCAGCCGTGCCACACATGCATTTACATGCACACAAACACACAAAAACACGGTTGCCGTTCCTCCGACCTGCTTTGCTACAGAGCAGACGTCACCGCCCACCTTCACCATCACTGGTCCAGACCTGTGCCACAAAAGACAGGAAGGGCCCCGCCCAGCAGGCCCCGCGGTCTGGTCAGAAACCCGCAGGAGACAGAAACAGGTAGGAAGTCCAGACTGTACCTTACTACTGACCTTCAGGCTCCGAGCTGTGAGCCGAGCGCTGCTGCTCGTCCAAGAGGCTCTCAGAGCTCAGCGAGGCTTCGGAGTCGAGATTCTCCTGGTCTGAACCAGGCTGCTCCATCTCTGGCAGGCGACAGGCAAGATCCTCTCTGAAGGTGAGATGAAGAGGAAATCACATGCATTAGGAACTGGACAATGAAGACAGCACACCTGAGGAACTGAAAAGTGCTGAGAGCGCAATCTTACTTCTCCTGTTTGATGGACTTGATACGTTCCATCAGGTTCTTCTCGGCCTCCGTGTCCGAATCCAGAGGCTCGTTCTCGGGGACCACGCTCAGATCAGTGCTGACCTTCTCGTGCATCTGCACAAGACAGAGGATCACACCTTCACCCAAACTGAAAACGTCCACAGTATAACAAACGCTAAAGAAACAGACACACATGACTTTAACCCAAACCTGAAACTGAACCAAAAGGTGTTAGTGAGGTCGAGAGAAAGGCAGGGTGATGGGGAGGTTTTCATGCACCTGCATATGAATTCTTACAGAAAGTATTCAACGAGATCCAAGTGAATGCACACTTTTACTCTTTTCACCAAAATGTGCTGCCGAGTGATTGCTCTGTGGACAACACCACCTTCAGAGCTCTGTGGCCTTCTTTCCTCTTAAGGTTGAACAAATCAGTCACAAAACAGCTGTTCGTAGGTAGTAACAGTCCTTCAAACCCAGAACCACGGTGTGCTCTCACATCACAAGCAGGGCACAAACCAGTTAACATGCAGTCTATTCCCAGTTAGTATGGAAGAATAAACAGTATTAAGGAAAGAAAAACCCCCAAACACACACACGACAGCCAAAGTTTGACCCACATCTTACATGCCATGCACAGGCGCCTCGACATGGCAGACCACTACAAACTACAACTACAAGGTCGACTCTACCAGGAGAAATCGATGATACGTACCACCGCTCCTTTGTAAGGAGCTGGTAGCCTGAGCGGTAAACGCCAGTAGTGCTAAAGAGAGACAAGGAACATTGGACACGTTACGCACGGAAGCTAAAGATATCAGATTCTGACAGTGGGGTCGACTTTATTGCGTGACCTTCATCCAGCTTCTTAGTGTCGACTTAATTTGTCTAAATGGACAAGGACGCAGACAGAGGCGAGCGGCGCTCTCTTCCTCACCGTGTTCTGCCTCTTGAGCTTCAGCTGGTTAACGGCTAGAGCCTCGGCGTACTCCAGCTGCTCGATTTCCTCCATCTTCTCGTTGTAGCGCCGGATCTGCTCGTTGATGAGCATCTCCACACATCTGCAAACAAAAGAGCGATCAGGACCCACACTCCTTCCAGCCTTTGGGAGGTTTTGGTCCGATTAGACGGCTCACGGGAGGGGCTCATGTGATTGGTGGGGCTTCTTTCTACTATGTTAGCGGCTTAACATTACAATACAAAGCATCTTGAGGATTGGTTCTATATAAAATAAACTGACTTAACCGAATAAATTAAAATGTAAATATTTCCTCTTTCAGAGTCCAAGTGAACACAAAGACCCCACACCCACCCAATTCAACCCTCGTATTACATTCATGAGATTTCTTGGCGGTCTTACGTGGTTGTCTTGGCAACGTCTTTCATGCTGAGCAGTGGGTCTGCGCTGTCCGGGCAGCGGAGGATGCACGGTGCAAACACTATGGCCAGTGAGTTGGGAGACATGCGGTTGTGAGCCTCTTCTTTGCACACCCTGCAGGAGAATCACACACTGCTGTAAATGATCACCTCGCCGTTTAACTGAATACACGCATAACAAATAAGACAGGACGCAATAGCCATCTCAGCGCAGGAGAAGTGATCAGAATCAAACAAACGAGGATCCCTGCCTGACGAGGTGGAAGACGAGCCTCTCCAAGGTGTTGTAATTTGCAGTCGGGAGCTCGTCCAGCACTTTATAGATGGCATGAAGCTGCTCCTGCTTCTCTGGAAGGTCTGACGAGAGGAAAGTGCAACAAAAATCAATTCTTCAAAAACAGACAAAAATGCAAAGACACGAGCGCACTAGTGAGAAACGTCCTCCTCACCGACTGCATGCAGGAAGTCGTTGTAATGTGTGAAGGTCATCAGTGGGTCTGGCAGCTCCCTCAGCCACTGCTTTACCAAGCCTGTCACTGTGTGGATGGGATAGTCTTCGAGGCAGGCCGAGTTGGGGTCTAAACACAAAGTCGTCGTCAGCTCAGCGATGTCGTTTTAGGAGTCAGAAAAAGCAGAAACCAAGTTGATGTCTGACCTGTGTCCAGTTTCTGGTGAAGCTCTTTCATCCGGTTGGCAGAGCCCGATTTGCGATAGATGCCCTCCGTGTAGAGGCCGTGCATCTCCACGTGCTCCAGCATCATTTCCAGCACCATCGGTACCGGATTCTTTTCATTGAGCAGGTGACACACACGCACCCCGAAGTGCTGCCCGGTAAACTCGTCATCATTCTGTGGAGTCACCAGACGGCAGCGGTCAGTCGGACCTCGCCATGATCCACCCACAACATCCGAATCACACATTCTTCACTACAAACTTCACTGCGCTGTTATATATAAAAACATGTTCCCAAATATTATTGAACACGTGGAAGCGTGCTTCCCAGGCAGCTGCTTCCTCCCAAAGGGCCGCTTTCATTAACTTTATTTAACGTTTTCAAACACTGCATGTCTATGATCAAAGATAAATATGCAGCCGACGCCGACAGTGCAAAAACGCTTCTTAAAAAGACCAGCAGAAAAAAAATTACTTGATTAGAAAATTTTATTTTTTTATTCAAAGCTAGTGGAACAGGGGCTGGATTAGAAAACGTTTTATGCACAGTGTTTATAACTAATCACTAACCCAGCCCTGTATTTTATGCACAACACAGACTGTATATAAAAGATGGATACCACTGCAAATCGAAGCCAATGTGCTTAAAACTGCATTCTCTCCAATGGCCAGTAGAGGGCAACGCTGATGGTAACAAACCTCAACTGGAGAGAAAAATGACTCGACTTTAGTTCAGTGAACGTCTCGTGATGAGTTCATGGTCCCAAACATGAGTTTCAAACTTCTTCATGATGATAGGAAATTATGGTTACATTTAAAAACAAAGCGAGGTTTGATTCTGGGCGTGGCTACTTTGTGGCTATGACATGAAAGGGAGTGACATTTCGTAGTCTTCCTGACCTCTCCGTGCAGGTTAGACTACACACCACCTTTAAACATACATTTACACACAATGTCAACGAGCACATCATTTTTATTATGTTTGTGTTTTTTAAATTGAGTTAACAGGAACAGGAGGTAATTTTAAGTAGATGAGAATCATTTAAAACACTGGATTAACTCGTTTACAGTATTCCACAAACTTTAAACACTTCGTCTTCCTCTCATCCACGACTTCAAATCACGGATTAACCAGATGTGAATGTTAGCAGACGGTGGGAGGAGGAGAACCACTGCACCGACATGCTGCAGGAGTGTGCAGGTCTAACCTTTGGTGGGCAAATGCAAACCAGCCATCCTTTACTTACAGTCTATGATGAAAACCCACCTTTTTGGCAGAGAAGGTGGAGCAGTCGGTGTTTATCTTGGAGATGCACTTCTTGTGGCACACCATTTTACAATCTGTGAGAAAAGATTAAGAATTGAACTCAGTGGAAGCTGAACTTGAGTCTTTTACAGCATGCTGTGCTGAAAACGTTTCGTCGGGCTCACTCACTGCTGCACATGTAGGCCTTCTCCATGCCCCAGATGTAGGAAGTACACTGGTCACATGACTGCATAATGTTGACCTGATAGTTACTGAAAATGTGATCCAGCGGATTTTCCACCTGAAAAGACAACCAATCAATTAAAGACAAAATCATTACTGTGATAAAAGACGTCAAACGCTGCATCACTTACACTTTTGTCTTTCTTCCTCCTCTTCTTTCTCGCTTTGGCGGGCTGACGACAGACAGGCACAAATCACAGGTGTGAACACTGTTTTTCTTATTCGCAGTGACGAGGCTGAACAAGTCGAGTTGCTTTGTTTTTACCTTTGCAGGTTCAGCCTCCTCCTTCTTCATCTCTCCTCTGATGAAACCATCCAGCACCGACTGGAACAGGTTCACCACCAGTTGGACTTCTTCCTTCCTTTTGCTCCCTGCCAGGTGCATCACTTTGTTCTGGTAGCCTGACATTAGACCTTTGTAGCCGATGGTGGGTTTCTGTTAGGAGACGGGAGGGAAAACGAGGAAGAAGAGACGATGGTGAGGGTGAACGTTGATCGTGTGATGAAGCTGCTTTGATGGCAGCTCAGAGACTTACAGGAAGAGAATACATGGCTTTGATGTTCTCTCTGAACTGCATGGTGGCTGTCACAAAGATGTTTTCCGTCTCTGACAGCGTCTTGCTCCTGGAGCGGAAATCGTTCACCTGCAGAGGAATAAAACCCTTTTAGAAACGTGCGAATCTCATTTCCTACATCGAGTCCGTCATCTTGTCGCCTTTCGCTCACCTGGTTGCCCAGAAACTCGTCGAGGTGCCGCAGCTCGTTGGCGTTGGTGATTTCTCGATCCAGCGAGGCATTCCACTGTTCAGAGACTCGTGTGGCTCGGCTGATTTTAATGCTGGGATTTCTGCCTATAGCTTTGCCGCCACGGTCACCGGATTGAGATCGGGGCGCGTGTCCGGATATCGGGGCTGAAAGAGAGAACGCGTCCCGAGTCGATAAGGCCAGAAACTACAGCAGGTGAGCAAAGCAGCTTCAGCTACTCCTCTTGTGCGATTTACCTTCCCATGCGGTCGACTTCTCGTTGAGAGTCTGAGCGAAGGTCAGCTCCCCGTTGTCTGGAGTCTGGGCATCTTTGCCTTTTTTAAAGATTTTGCTGAAGAAACCGCTGGGCCTGCGATCCACAGAAGCAAAACACATAAGAACGACCACACATTAGTTCACGTCACAGACACGCCTGACATTCATTCGTTTCTTTTTATGCAACCAGAACATGTGTTTGCACTCCATCAGCAGCTGTGGTACCTGTCAGGTGTGGATGCGACTGAGTGGGCTGAATCCTGGTACCCGGCAGCCTCCTGCTGTCTCTTTCTCACGGAGCCTCCCTTTGAAACATCACCAGAGCTGTCAGTCGGGGAAAGCTGTTCAGCAGAGAATATCCAGTTACTTACACGACATCAGAGCGCAGATGTTCCCACAAACTGACAAACCTTTCTCTATAACGGCCACTTTACATTGAATCGACGGAAAATACCTCTTTGATGGAAGCGCCGGCATCAGAGCCGGGAGACAAGCTGTCGATCGACGAGAATGTTTCATTCCTGAAACGCAGACAGAAGAAGAAGATCGATTAAAGAAAAGCCGAACTGAACCAACTGTTGTAAAGTAGCTTCAGCCAGCAGACTGAGACGTACAGCTTTTTGGTCTGTTCTCTGCTTTGAGGTGGAGAAGGGCTGATGTTCTCAGAGAGCTCCCCGTTACTCCTCCTCCCCCTCCACTTTTCCGGCTTCTCCTTTATCGCCCCAGGCCGACGCTGCAGATTTACCGCGCCGACATTCTCGCTGAGGCCGTTTCTCTCCGACAAAGAGTCGGCGGGCGCCAGAGGTAATGAAGACGGACGGACAGGACCGGCGGAGGGAGGAGAACTTTTTGCCTCCTTCTTCGCTCCCTTGTCTTCCTTCACTTTCCAGTTCACAAAGGTGTACTGGTCCAGCTCCTTGCTGTCTGAGCGCTCTTTTAGCTTCGATGGCTCCTGGTTTTTGCTCTTCGGCGTGGTCGTGGGATCCTTGTTGGTGGATGAAGACGAGGCGACTCGCTCGGACTCCCTGCGGCTGTGTTCCAGCCCTCTTTGCCTCCTCTGCTCCCTCTTCTCCTGGCTCCTGGTTGACAGGCCCCTGTTAACAGTCGAAGATTGTGGTCTCTTTTGTTCAGCGTTTGGAGGTGTGGAGGTTGTGCTAGCTTCTTTATCCTCGCCCTCAGCTGGAGATGTGGGCGTAAGTGCACTGGAGATGAGCCTATCAGAGGGCAGATCAGCCTTTGACTCTTCTAGTGTTTGGCTCTCCAGATCCTCCTCCTCCTCATCCAGCTGGGGTCCAGCCTCAGCTTGGTTACCGCAAGCTTCCGAATGCATTGCCTCACGCTCCAGCTCTTTCTCTTTGCCACGTTCTTCCTCTGAATTTGAACTTCTATTAACATCTTCACCCTCCTCTTCCTCCTCTAAACCCTGTGCATTGAGGTTTTTATCCAGCATCTCCTCAGTGACCAGCTCTATATCCGAGTCCTCTCTCGTTTGAGGTTCCTCTGCAAGTCGTTGCTCCTTTGCTTTCCTGGCTGCCTCTTCTGCCCTTCTCCTTGCTGCTTCTTCCATTCTTCGCCTTTGCTCCTCTTCTGCTTTTCTTCTTGCCTCTTCCTCCTCTTCCCTTCGCATCCTCTCTTCTTCTGCAGCCCTCCTCCGAGCCTCTTCTTCCTCCTCCTCTTTCTTCCGTTTCTCCTCACGGATTGAAAGGCACCTGAAATGCACAGCAGATAATGTGACACCAGACTGTCAGCGTCACCTCTCACGCAGCAGATTACACAGGCAGCCCCGCCGAGTGTGTTTTCTACCTTCTGCGTGCAGAGTGTCCTCTGACCAGGGCCTGGATTTTGGTAGCGCCTCTTCTTTGCTTGGCGTACGCCGATCTCTGTCTGTGGCCTCTCCACACCGCCTGGATCAGAGTGGCCGCCTGCCGTCTTTGCTCCTCTCTGCGGTACCGACGCCATGAACGCTGAGAGAGAGGGCGACGGTGAAAACAATCAGCACCGTTCTTAAAATACCTCCCAGAGTTTGGAATCGGGTCTGTGTTTACCTGGATCGTGACGGCCGCCTGCCTCATCTCTAGAAACTCTTTCCTCTGCAGGTGAGCTCTGACCCAGCGCTGAAGGAAGATGATCTTGCGCATTACGTCCTTGTGCAGCACGTCCTGCAGCTGCTGTCGCTCGAGCTCTTTCAAGAACACCTGAAAGGACAAAACACACCAGAGTGGCATCACGAATGTGGATGCTGGTGTCTGCAGGACCACGTTTATAGGAGCGTAACAGGTTGTACCTTTGTTTTGCCTATCTGGTATGTGGTCGGGTTGAGGCCCATCTTCTTCTCAAGCAGCGCTGAGATGTCCTCTTTGCAGGCAGTCGCGTTCTTTGGCAGCAAAACCCTGAACTGCTCCATGAAGTCCTGCAGGAACAGAAAAGCATATGAATACAGCAGGTGGAGCAGTTTCCACTTCTGTTTTTCACATGTGCCCTGACGCAGACCAGAATATTAACATCTAATCAACATGAAAATATGAACTCCGTGCCTGAAGTGAATTTCCCAAAGGAAGGGCACATTTGCAATACCTGGAATGTGTACTTGGCTCCGTAGCCGGACCTCCTGATGCGAACGGTCTCCAGCATACCCGTGTATCGCAGCTGCTGCAGCACCAAGGCTTCATCCAGATGCATCTCCTTCTGCTCAGTTTGACATAAATACCCACGATCATCATTTACAAAGTGGTAACAATGTGACGAGTTCTTGTTATTAAAAGCACCAAGAATTTACGCTGTTATTGCATTTAAAAAGAACGAAAACATCAACGACTAAAGAATCACGCTTACCTTCTCAGCATTGGAGCGGATACACCGAATGAAGAAAGGCTCGGCTCTGTTTAGAGTCTCTAAGAGTTTGGTCAGAGAAGTCTGAGGACAACAAAAACAGCGGTTTGCCGAAGCTTCGCAGAGGCGATTGTTTGCAAGCACAATGTGCAGATAAGGTTACAGGTAAAGTTACCTGGAACTGGGCACTGATGCTGGGAGGCTTCTTCTTCTTGTGCAGGTGGAGCAGAGACTTGGTAGTGCGATCCTGCAACGTCAGGCTCACGATGAACTTTAGAGATCGAGAATCCAGCAAACTCTGCAGAGCAATAAATGGAAGATGAATTCCTTTGCTTGCAATCTTCAAACTGAGGAAGAGCACAATCTCAGGTTTATCTGCCTTTACACTTTACCTTTGGGATGGGTTGCCTTATTTTGATGCCCTTGTTTTTCCTGCAAAAAGTGAAGAAACAAACTTTGAGTCTGACGGACAGAAGTGCTGAACGCCTGACGACTTAATGAGGAAGCGGATGATGTACGTGAAGGCCAGGTTAGTATGGATGGGTGACTCCTTCATGCGCAGACAGTGATGAACATTAGGCTTGGACCTGAATCGGATGAATGACGAGCGCGAGAAGCAAGACTGATGAGAAGGTGAGTGACGAGGGAAGGACGACAGACAGAGGAAGAGGATGTATGCTGCAGGAGACGGGATGTAACTCTACACAATGAGCCCAGCAGAGGCTCGTACTCAGACGTACTCTCTCTTTCATCACTGCATAAAAACAAAACCCTAAACTTCAAATCCTCGTCGCTGCTTCTGCTGTAAAATGTAACATGCTGCAAGGCTGCTGGGCCATTACGTCACAAGATGCTCTGAAGGACCTTGCATGCCAACAGTCTGGAAATTCATGCAGCAGCAAACAAAAGTATTCATGGCGTTTCAGCCTTCAAGAAACCTCGGCACCTACACACCAGAGCTAACAATATGAATATGCAATAATGAATATTTTATTTGATCAAATCACATCAGACTGGAATCATCTGGCTTTAAATGTGACCGCGGAAACTAGTCACTGCTGGAAATATCGACTCCAGCTCCAAACACGTGTGATCTACTTTATTATTTAAATAAAGTTTAACATGAGCATGGTCTGCCTGAGCTGCACTGATCTGAGCAGGAGCTGATGCCAGGTCTGTCTGCAGACTCACTGAAGGACGTGTCGCGGGAAGCGGAGGCGACCCCAGGACTGCAGCAGTTTGCGAGGGTCCTCACCATCCAGCTGCAAGTTCTTAATGGAGCTGATGATCTCTGCATGCATGTTTCTGATCACACCGCACGCACACAAACAATCGGCGTAAACAGGGGGAGGGAGGGGAAGCAGGAGAGGTGGGGGGGAAACAGAGAAGGGGCAAAGAAGGAGGGAAGGAAAAGAAGTAAAGCGGGGTGTGACAAAACATCTCTGTTAGGAAAACAAACCACCAAAAACACACACTCAGGAGAAACGTCAGCTTTCACACTGTGAAGAATGACCCACAAAACCTTTAGTGTTCATGTAGAAGGAAACCACAACACACAGACACACAACCAGGAAGCTATG